CCTCCAGATCATTTATGTATATCACAAACAACAGTGGTCCCAACACGGATCTTGTGGAACACCACTGATCACAGTTCTCCATTTTGAAAAACTCCCTTCCACTACAACTCTGTCTCCTGCTGCCCAGCCAGTTCTCTATCCACCTAGCTAGTACACCCCGGACCCCATGCTACTTCACGTTCTCCATCAGCCAACACACAACAGAGCTTCAGTAAATTGCCTGTCGGATGTTGAGACTGATCTACCACTAACTCTAAAGAAATATACCATTGTTTTTAAATGGGGACCTCAGAAGTATGCAAACAAAAAATCTATCAAACTAAATTCAAGGGTGAAAATCAAGCAAAAATATGGCAAGGCTAGATCAATGCCCCATGTAATCAGGCCAAAGACCAAGCCAGGCTGGTCGAGACAGGAGTCCTTGGACCCGTGAATGTTAGCGATTGGGCCATGCATACCATGCCAGCAATGAAGAAAGATGGATCAGTACACATCTGCAATGATTTTAAGGACACTACTAATCAATTGTAGGCCTTCTCGTGGAGCAGTGGCAGTGTCCCTACTTCCGGACCAGGAGGCCCAGGTTCAAGTCCCACCTCCTCCAGAGATGTATAACAACATCTCTGGACATGCTGGTTAGAAAAATAGGTGAAATTTAAAAAACTATACTGTGTGCTGAGTATTATCCTTGCCTTTAATCAATGACCTTTTTGCTAGACTAGCTGGAAGTCAGGTTTTCAGTAAAATTGACCTTAAACAAGCCTATCTCCAGATGAATGTAGATCCTGAGTCACTGAAACTTGATGATTCCATTTGGAATCACATTTGCACCTACATTATTCTAATATGCCGTGGATCAATTTTTAAGTGGATTACAAGAAGTCCAATGCTACCTAGAATTGGAAAAAAAAGAGTATCTCCAAAATTCTGACGCTACTCTGCAGTCTTGAAGATTATGACCTAAGAGTGAGTAAAGATAAATGCAATTTTTAACAATCTTCCATTGAATATTTAAGCCATGTCACTGATACTAAGGGACTACACGAGTCTCATTCAAAAGTAAAAGCCATAACTAACTAAGGCTAAAAATGTAAACCAACTGGAATAAGTTTTGGGCTTGCTAAATTAACATGGCAGGTTTGTCCCAAAGCCTGAAACCATTCTGAAGCCATTGCACAATTCATGATGCCAAAACATGAATTGGAAATGGGAAGATCAATGTGAAAGAACTTTTACACAAGCCAAAGAGGCTTTATTAAAGTTAGAATAGCCCAATCTACGCTTTGCTGGAGTGGAAGTGCAGTGGGGGATTCCATAGATAAACAACCAACCACCTGACAGAATAAGTTTATCATCATCTCCATTTCACATGGGAGTGACCCTTTATTTTGAAACTATACCCACTAGTTCTAGGATTCCTTGCAAGATGAGACATCCTCTCAGCATCTATCCTGTCAAGCTCCCTTCAGAATTTAATGCTTGGAATAACGATCACCCCTCATTCTTTGTAACTCCAATTAGTGTAGATCAAAGCTAATCAAATGCACAACTTTTCCTCATAAGACAACACCTTCATCCCAGGAACCAGACTAGTCATGTTTTTTTTTCTGAACTGTCTCTAATGCAATGATAACCCTTCTATAAAAGGAGACAAAAACTCTTAGTATTCCAGGCGCGGTGTCACTAATGCCCCCGTACTTATAAGATTTCCCCTCATTTATATGCCAAACTTGCAAAAAAGGCCAACATTCCAACTTTAACTTGACATATCTCCACGTTGACATTTTGAGATTCATGTACAAAGATACCCAGGTCGATCTGTACTGCAACATTCTACAGGCTCTCCTTGTTCAAATAATATTCTGATTTTCTATTCCTCCTGCCAACGGGGACAACTCACTATTCGCTTATCATGTATAGCTGTCACTATGCTCAGTTCAAATAAATGCAAGAAAAAGTACAAAGCATTTAATAAGCTGTTTAAATTCTAAATATGCAAAACGAAAAACCAAGTCAGCAAAGCCCTAGCTTTAAGAATAAAGAGTCATTGTTACACACAAACACTCAACTACCCTTTAAACTAATGGAAACTTGGAAATAAACATTCTTCTCTAATACAGATAAACAATGCGTTTTACAAGCAAATGATTTCCCTCGTACATTCAATCTCAACAGATAATTGAAATTTAATGACAGCTTGTCACCAAAAGGACAGGTAAAAGCATATCCAAGAGTGCTGTTTATTTGTACTGAACTCATCTGTACCTGTTCTAATGAACATCCTCAGATAGTGACTTATATTTTCTCCATTTACTTACAGCTCCTAATCACCTACAGCAGCATGCAAGCCAAGTTACCTATTCTCAGGCCCATAATTATAAGCAGTAAGATTAAGAGTTAATCTGAATGACTGAACCTCAAACTTTCCCAGAATTAAGTAGCTTACACCGCAGTACATATACCATTATAAGCTTCAATCAAACTCAACATGTACAGGAGAAAATGCTAGACTGCACATAACGTGGATATGCACAAGTTCATTTTCTAAAGGAGCCTGAAGTTGAACACCCACTACGTTGCAGATATTTATGTCATTTTATGAAGGTTAGATACAAAGAAGTTTAATAGCAACAAAAGAAATCCAATTGTTTGTTTCCACAATATATGATAAGTGGACCACATTACGTCAGATGAGAGCTCTACTATGCAAATACCTCTCTACTTCAAAGCAACTACTTGGCAGTCCACAGTTCAGCATCAATAGTGCAAAGTGCTAATTAGATTGGCCAAAAATCCATGCAAAGAGGCAAGATTTCAGTATCCCCCATAGGAAGGATATAAATACCGTTATAATAAAAGACAGAAGCGATCTCCAAAGCTGAACTGAACTTCTGATTTTGTCCATTGAAAGAAAAAAGAAATTGACAAGTATATGTAAATGGACAAAAAACAGTCAAGGAACAAGTCTAGGCATTTCACATATTGCCAGTGTCATATTAGTAAAAGAAAACAGTTCTACAATTGTCATCTTACCACAACAAAACCAGCACAGCTTAGTTACAGCTTCTGACTATCTAAAATTCCTTGCCAACCTGAAAAATAACTGCCTTCATGCCAAAACGTTTCCAATTCGAACTGGGTTCAGAAATGTTTGGAAGTCACAAAAATCATATTGCCAATTAATTTGCTAGATGTCTCAAGAGTCACACAAATTATCAACAATAATCATCTATTTAATGTGGTAGTATCAAAAAAAAACTCTTCTGGGCAACTTTCTTATCATGATACATTGTAGCAAAAATGAAACTGAAAGTTCCTACAGTAAACATTATTCATTTGCAGCTGGAGCAGCAGAACTCAGGGTAGTTTCACATGATCTGGGGTTTGTTTTCTTCATATAAATACAACCTATAATTGAGACACATTTATAGAAAACAATTTATAGAACTAATACAATCAATAACAAAAATAAACAAAAATGAAAGAGAATTTCATTTAAGCTTGTTGAGTTGACTTTCCTTCTGTTTCACTTATTCAAATTCATTGAAATTGACAGATCAGATTACTGAAGAAGGTTTCAATTGCTTGAAAGTACCCTACCAGGCTTCTGGTGTTGAACATTTAAATAGATTTTCCAAGATCACAAATTCCCATCTGGTGCAGATTGTATGCCATGTCAGATTTTGCAATCTGACCTTGAAAATGCATTTTTTTTTAAATGGCATTAGTTGTATAATATATTAGCAACAGCTATAAATGTTTCAGAGAACAGCGTAGGAAGTAATTAAAGAAAAGTTTTCATGGACCATCTTTCAATATTTATTAAAACTCATTGGAGAATGAGCACAAAAGTCAAAGGAGACAGTAATACAACATCACAGGATCATAGAATCTTGACAGTGTGGAAACAGGCCACTTGGCCCAACAAGTCCACACCACCCCTCCGAACAGCATCCCACCCAGACCCATCCTCTACCCTTTCCCTGTAACCCTTCATGTCCCATGGCTAATCCACCTAATTTACACACCTCTGGACACTACAGGCAATTTAGCATGGCTAATCGACCTAACCCGCACACCTCTGGACTATGGGAGCAAACCAGAGCACCCAGCTGAAACCCATGCATATTCTACATGTGCGTGACATATAATAATAGAACATATTGCAATCAACATGGTTACTTATAAAACAATTAGGAATGCACAGAAGCATTCTACTAAGAGCATTAAAGAGGGAAAAAGAAAGTTCATGAAGAGAGTCAGAATGACATTATCTGTAAAATGTACTACTTTGGTGCAAAACCCTTGTATACTTTTAATAAGAATTTAGCTATTTCATTAAAAAAAAAGAGGAATCTGACAAGGGATGGTGAGCAAGCAGGAAAATACTATTAGGCCAACTGGTTAAGATGGAGGTGGCCTACGTTTATTTACTTTTGTTTTTTGACCAAGCACGATGTCCTTTTCCTGGAAAGAGGTGCATAAGTTATTTATCATTCTATAAATGTCAAACATTGGATCACCCATTTCAAAAGTTACACGCTGATGTGAATACAACCCAATTTCAACCTAACAAGATGAAAACCAACAACATGGTTAAGAATAAGCAAAAGCGCTCAAATCACATAACTACTGTTTATGACAGGAATACTTTCACCAAGATTTCGATTACATCAATCTGTCCAGCAATTGTTTTCAATGGAAGGGGGCATTAGCAAGAAATGTGGAACAGCAAAGGAGACGAATCGAGCGAGAGGGTGTTTGTGTGGCTGAGTAAAGCTGACAAAACATTTCCGTGTGAGTGCATCAAGCAGATAGATGCTCGCTTTGCTAAAGCTCGGATACAGAAGGGTTGTTTTAAAAAAAAACTGAAATCAGAAAGACAGGGGGAAATGACAACCCCTGCAATCTCAAATGGGGAAAGAATAAACGAGGCCAGCAGGGAAAGAAAATAGCAGCGAGTTGCGGTTGTCCCGGAGTCAGTGAGCGCTTGCACGAACCTTCCGGGAACCTTGGTGTTCCGCTTCCAGAACTGCCTCCTGCTGTCGCTCGCCATCACCTCCCGTTCCCTTCCCCTGACAGTATAGGAGCGCTGACAGAATTTTCGGGTGTTTTTTTTTCCTTTTAGAAAGAAAACTAAATACCGTTCAGAGGAACGGGCACGCCCCAGTCAGAAAGGTTAAAATCTCAGACAATTTCTAAGCACTGCCACTGCCGCCGACGCCGCCATGTTGGCGTCCGGAGCCGACGCTGCCTTCTCATTGGTCGGGGCGGAACCGTGCACCGCGCTGCCAATCAGGAGCCTTGATGTTCACAGGTGGCCCGTCTCCTTGGCGACGTCGCCGGTTGATTGACAGGCAGATCCAGGCAGGTGTCCAAAGAGAAAGCATTGATCCCAGCAGCTCAGTCACAGAACAACACTGAATTACATTTAAATACAAGATGGAGAGATTAGATTGCTCAGCTATCAGTGTTGACAGATCATCGCTTTATTTGCTTTTCCTCCTAATCTGCAGAGTGACTCTGTACAGGGAGAGAACGTGTCTTGTTCCGTGCTGCCAGCACAGACAAGTTAACCTGCCTTTTAAATAAACCCAAAAACCTCAAATTAACTTTAATTGAAATGAGGATCTCGAAAAGTGGAAACTTTTCCAAAAGTTGTCTCCGTTGGACAAAATCTCAATTTTGATATCTTCCTTTGAAGGAAGTAAAGGATCACCAGTTCTGATGAACGTTGACCCGAATCGTTGAATAAAATCAGAAGGTGCTGGATAAATGCAGAAGGCCGCGGTAGCATCTGTGGAGAAAGAAACAGAATTAACAGTTGGAAACCAATATGAGGAACCGAAGAAAGGTGGCAAAGTGATGAGTTTTGTAGGGAAAAATGTGGGTAGGTGAAAGTGGAGGAAAAGGTCAGGAAATGGTTTCTGGGTAAAAAAGATTAGAGATCCACAGGTGACGCAGAACAAAAGGTAAAGGGTGTGCGAAGGTTTGAAAATAAGTAGTGAGGTCCGGAGAAGGTGTTAATAGCAGAATAATTGGTCAACTCTGCTGGAGACTAGATACTGGTTATGGATGGAGGTGTGGGAGAGAACAAAATGGATGACATGCTTCATGATCTGAAATTTTTGAATTCAATGTTAGGTCCAGAAGGCTGTAAAGTCCTTAAAAGAAAAATGAAGGACTTTTGCTCCAGCTTGCATTTGGCTTAATTGGAACAATGTGGTAAACTTAGGACAGAAATGTGAGCACAAGAGTGAGGTGGTGTTAAAAAATGAGAAAGCAACCGAAAAGTTGGAAGTCATGCTTGCACGTGTCGAGGTGTTCAGCAAAACGATCACCCTGGCAGGGTTTGAGGAGGAGACTAGAATGTGATCAATAAATACAGCAGACTAGCTTGAAAGAAATAGAAGTAAATCATTGCTTCACTTGGAATGAGTGTAAGGGGTTTTGGACAGCAAGGAAGGAACAGGTATTGTTACACTTCCTGCAATTGCACAGATAGGTGTGCAATTGAGAGGAATGAGGTGTTTGGGGGTTGGGGTGGTGGCAGAAGAGTGGAGTAGGGTCACAGAGGGAACAGTCCCTTCAGAATGCTCAGAGGGGAGAAGAAGTAAAGATGATTTTTTTGTGGTAGCATCACCGGAGACAGAAATGGTAGAGGGTGATAATTTTAAGGCTATTGGGATAGAAAGCGAGGAAAGGGTGTTCTCTATTGCATTTCTGCAACGGACGGGAAGTGGTGAGTGCAGAAAAGTGAAAAATGAGTTTAAACACAGTAAAGGGACCTGTCTAACAAGAATCCTCATTTAGGAAAAAGGACATGTTGGAAACATCATCTTGGAACACAGTTATAAGTCAAGCAGATGAAACGGAGACAGACAAACTGAGAGAATGGAATGAAGTCCTTGTGGGAATTCAAGTGTGAGGACGTTTAGTCAATGTAGCTGTCAGAGTTGGTGGATTTCTAATGAATATTAGTAGATAGCTGATCCCCAGAAACAGAGAAGTCAAGGAAGGGAGAGATAGTAACTAATGGATTGAGCAAATGTGAGAGAAAGGGGAAAATTGGAAAGAAACTTAATTAATTTCTCCAATTCCATATGAAAGCATGATTTAGTGTGAATATGTTCATCAGTGTACCAGAAAAACAGTTGTGGTAGATGGCCCAGGTCAGACTTGAACCAGGAAAGTTACAAAAACATCAAAAACAGACAGAATAGTGCCCATGTGGGTACCTATAGCCTCATCCTTTACTTGGAAGAAGTAAAACAGTAAAAGAAAAATATTCACTGATAGCAAGCTTAGCCATCCAGAGGAGGGTAAGTGTGGATGGGGACTATGTGGTCCTCCATTAAAGAAGAAACATAAAGGGTGGATGTGTAGAGAGAAGGCAGTTAGTGCCAGGCCATTGGAAACTGATGAACTGTTGTATAGTATCAGAAGAATTATGAACGTAGTTGAGAAGAAACTGAATAGGGGAGATTAAGTAGAGGCAAGAGAGGAAGAGATGACCTCCGTCATGCAAGAACATGCTTAAACAATGGGTCTGCTAGGGCAAACCTCTTTGTAGCTGTTGGGAAGAAGGTGAAAGCCAGCTCTATAAGATTGTGGAATTGGAATGTGGAAAGCTGTGGAGGGAAGATCTCCAGAGGAGATCGGTCAGTGACACTCCTGAAAACAATAGCTTGATGTTCAGTAGTTATGGCCTAGGGAAGATCGGAAGAACTGTCCAAGAGCTGGCACTCAGACTCTCCAAGGTAAAGCAGGTGACAACAGTACCAGTCATGTTGGCAGATTTGCTAACAAAGTCAGGGTTAGACTGAGTGATCAAATTCAGCGAGTTCAGAGGAAGACTGCTTAGAATGGGTAATGAGAGTGGAGAAATTGAGACACTTGATGTCCCACCAACAGTACTTGATGGAAAGATCAAAAGTGCGTGAGAGGCCAAACTGATGGATGCAAGTGCATGGAAAGAATTGGAGAGGGGCAAAAGGTCTGTCAAGTGGGAAGAAAATTTCCTGCCCAAAGAAGTGAACATGGAGGTGAAAATAATGAAAGAAATGTTCAACATTGTGCCATGCCTGCATCCAAATCTTTACTCCACAACTGTTTTACATAGTCTATATGCAGATTGTCATCACCTATGATAGCCACTTGCTACTTGCTTTTCTCACCTCCTGTCGAATATTATGCCCCACTGGTTTGTTGGCTTATAAATAATTGTCACCAATGTGTGCTGCCCATTGTTCTTTTTAGTCCCACCAAAACAAATTCATTTCTGAAGAAGGGTCTAGGCCCAAAACGTCAGCTTTCCTGCTCCTCTGAAGCTGCTTGGCCTGCTGTGTTCATCCAGCTGTACACCTTGTTATCTCAGCACTTTGTAATTCTGATCTGAGATCTTCCCTTATAACCATCCTGATCCCATCTCTATATCAGCACAACTCCACCTTCTTTTCCTTCTGTCTTTCCTAAACAGTGAATATCGTTAAATATGTCACCATGCAGTCATTTTCCTCTAACTACAATTAGATCATGGCAGTGTTTGCTGATACCGACAACTGTGGCAACTAATGCATGCATGCTCATTCAGGAACGCACAATTCCAAGCACTGACATCACCACGTTTACTTCATGTGTGATGTCATGCACAAATGCATTACTGCACATGTGCAGGGAAGTACGTGCAATTTTGAAGTGGGCTTCAGTGGTAGAAAGAGTGTAGTTGCCTGGAGTGGTCAGTGTCTGCAAACACTGCCTTAGATCAAACCCATTTACCTCTACTTGGGCCTTTAAATTACCTACATTATTGCGAATGCCGCATACTTTCATACACAGTGTCATTAACTTTGTCTTTTTGACGTCATTCCACATTTGAAGCACGGTAGATGCTCAGCTTTGTTTCTCATGTCTTCTTATCTCCCTGGCAGATTTTGTACTTTCTGTTACCAACTTTACTTCTTTCCAATTTGGGCTACCCCTCAAGTTTCCAGTCCCCTGATATGCCAGTTTAAAACCATACTGATAGTACTTGCAAATCTTCCTGCAAGTTTAACAGTCCCAATCCTGTTAAGATGTAATTGGTGATATTGGCAGTTGTTTGTCACCAACGTTACAAGGTTTCAGAAGATTCAAAGTAGACAGCAACCCTCCAGCAAGATTTCAATGGAGAGCATTCCACACCATTGGCAAGGGACAACTTCATGTGCAGCACTTGTGGCAGACTTTCTAGAATTAACTTCTTCAACAACCAAAATAAGCAGATGATCTGAACTGATCTCACTGCATTCGAAGGATGCCTCACAAATAGAAGAATATCGAGCACTTTAAGCAAAAATGAGTGACTATTTCAGAATCAGTGCTTGGTAAACCTGCGTACACTGGCCCAACCAAAAATAAAAGAGACTTAGACCAGAGGGCACAGCCTCAGAGTGAAGGGACAACCTTTACAACTGAAATGAGGAGGAATTTCTTCAGTCAGACGGTGGTGTATCTGTGGAACTCATTGACGCAATCAGGATTGGAAAACCTGGGCAGAATTTTCAATTCTAGTGAGCAGCATGAACTATGGCAAAATAGTTGGGAAAATATGGCAAAAATGGAATATCACATGGAGAAAAATATTCCAATTTTCCCCTTTAAGGTTTAAACGATGAGTTCCAAATCTCAACTGAGCAGCAACTACCTTATTCCCATGCATTTATATCTCATTAATATCTCTGTTTAGCTTCCAATCCTCTCCTTCCCCGAGAAACTAGATGGTGTCAATTTCTAACATGAAAGTTAGATTGGTTACCTCGCGTAGCATCTTGGTGCTTGCTTTCCTGGATCTTCAGACAACTCTATCTTCACCACAATATTCCAGAATGATCCATGGACCCAATCCTCTTCCACGTTTTGCCCATGAAAGTGGACATTGCCAAATGGTCAGTTTCATCACATCATCATGGTTGCTTTTACAATAACTCACCTCATTGGATTCTGGGAGGGTTCCAGTGGATTGTAAAACCACTAATGTTCAATAAGGTTGGGAGACAGATAGAGGAAATTACAAGACCATGAAATGTAGGAGCAGAATTAGGCTATTCAGCCCATCGAGTCTGCTCTACAATTCGATCAAAGCTGACAAGTTTTTAACTCCATTCTCCTGCCATCTTCCCATAACCCCTGATCTCCGACTCATTAAGAACCTATCTGTCTTAAAGAAACTCAATGACTTGCTCTCCGTAGCCTTCTGCAGCAATGAGTTCCACAGATTCAGCA